CTCTCTCTCTCTCTCTCTCTCTCTCTCTCTCTCTCTCTCTCTCTCTCTCTGTGTGTGTGTGTGTGTGTGTATGTATGTGTGTATGTGTGTGTATATGTGTGTGTGCTTGTCTCTCTCTGTCTCTGCCTCTGTGTATGTGCGTCTGTCTGTCTCTTTCTCTCTGTCACTGTGTGTGTATCTGTCTCCCTCTCTGTCTCTGTGTGTACGTCTGTCTTTCTGTCTCTCTCAAACACACCCACCCACACACAATTACACACAAATGACAGGAATGAAAACATATGACAAAGAGTAAATAATGTTAAAGAAATTTAGGCTTTATTGAAAAGTAAAATTATAAATTTTCCTACATGTTAGTGCCCTGGGGTTTTATTAGAAAATGACCCAAAATGAGCCAGCTAGCCTAAATTCTTAATAGAAACTGGAAAATCTTCCATAGCAGCATGGACGATAGGTGCTGTATGCATATCGAGAGCCACAGCCACAGCCATAACCTCCATAGCCTAGTCCACCTAGTCCACCATAGCCATAACCCAGGCCACCATAGCCATAGCCCAGGCCACCATAGCCATAGCCCAGGCCTCCATAGCCATAGCCCAGGATGCCAGAGCCGTAGCCCAGGCCACCAAAGTAGTTTCCGTAGCACATGCTGTCAAGAATGGGAGTTTCCTTGAGGCAGATCAGGAGCTTCTGGAGTGTGAGTCTGCTAAGCAGGTGTGATCCTTTTATACGGCCTGGATGGCATGTGAGGCCAACCACAGAGTCCTCCAAACTCATTACCATTAAAGCAAAGAACAAGTCCACCCTCCACAAACATCCTGACCATGTGTCCAAGACAGTATGGTCAGCATTTCTAAAAGCTGAGGTCATGAGCCTTCTGGCCACAGGCATCTCTGCTGTTCACAGATGGCTTATTCAATACTCCAAATAGAAAACTGTTGAGAGTCCACACACAGTGTCATAAAAGAAATCAAAAGATTTCTTTTCCAATAAGATTCTGTTACTCCTTAACGTTAGCCTGTTTATACCTCTAGTTTAGTACTATTCCTTGTCTATCTGAGAAATATGTCTGCTGATAATTTCCTTCGGTACACATTCCAATGCGCATGCAGAGATGTATCAAAATGAACAGAATCTGAATCCTCCTTGATGCCTATTTCCTCAGAAGGAAATGGCTGAGCTCGTCTCTTTGTCTATTTTAGGCTTAAATTTCATCCATACTTTTCTTGCATTTTCTTTATTTTATATGATACTGAAATTCTCATTTTCTGTCAAAATAAGAAATTGTTTACAGTTTTAGTTAAGGATTTCCTGACACCCTTCATCTTCACTTCCATTGACTTCCAGGTCATCAATGTGTTTTCCTCTACTCTTTGCCTTTATTTTGAAGAATTTATATGTGTACTGTGTTTACATCCTTTACCCCACCCCTTCCCCTGTTCAACTCCTCCTGCTTCCCAGCTCCCTCTCATGAGTTCTTTTTTTATTTTTTATTGTATTTTATGTGTGTATGTATATGCACAGATATACATACAAGCTTCTGGGTGTATTTAGTGTTGGCTGGATATGTAAGTCTTTGCGCTGATCACTGGCATTGGATCACTCCACAGTGGACTGGTCCCTGAAGAAGACTGAATCTCCCTCTCTCAGCATCCATTGTCTATAGCTTTTCACCTGTGGGTGGGAGCATGGGAGATTTCCCTTCTCCATATTGATGTAGCCATTGGTGTTGTCATTGCACTGGTCTCGCAGGGAAACCATGCTTTTGATATTTGATAAGTATAGCTTCCTTGTTAGATAGGTAAGACGTTTTCAGAAAGTAGACATTCTCTTTCCAGCCCTCAATAGAGAGTTAAAGCAGAAGAAAATTATTCATTTGTTATTACTTCATTTACCTACTCACCAACTTTTCATCAAGGGTCTCCTGTTCCCAAAACTGTTACATAAAATCAAGGCAAAGCATATGAAGAGCAGTCTCTGTTTTCTAAAGATAACAATTGAGACAAAAGAGAGAAGGAGAAAGACTGTAAGAATCATTTAGGCAATTCTATTGTTTATGGATACTACAAAGATAATAAAACTCAGTGAATTTCATTAAGTTTACAAAGTTCCTAGTGGTCAACTCAGATAAGATGAACATAAAACTTGTCTCTGAGTGTTAAATTTTATATTAATTAGAAATTAGAGTCAAGTATGAAAATTACAATATTAATATTAATATTGTTATATTTGTGGAGGGGAATATGTTCAAAGTAAATTATAAGCTCATATGAAAATGTCTTTTTAAAATGTATTACTATTGACAATGAATACAAATCAATATAAACTGTATATTAAGAGAAGGTAATATGATTTCAGTATTACAAATAATTAGGAAAGCAGTATAAAAAGATGAGGTCAGATCCAGACGGGTCAGCTTGTGAAGGAGCAACCATGTCTGGGGTTAAATAGTCAACCAGACCATAAATTCAAAAGCTGTTATCAAGATTAAAAACTGTGGCTGATGGGAGAGTATGAGAAGCCTAGAGCCCTAGTATTGAAAATGGCTACTGCAAAGAATTCATATATCCTATAAAAGATATCATCTCATTTTGAGGTCAAACTCTGAGCAGTTGAAAGAAGAGAAGAAGAAGCTGCCGTTGATATGGGTAGTGAAAAAAGCAAGTGTGTTTGATATGAAAGAAGAGCATGTGCTAAGGAGGGAAAGCAGGGAGGGGTGGAGTGTTTGATTATGGATCCCTTACGTAAGCACCAGGTGAACAACCTGTTCAGTTCTTTGAATTTCCAAGTTGTATACACTTGATAGTCATTCAAAGACTATTCTAATTCTCTTAGACTATTAGGTGTGTGTTTGTCTGTTTTTCTTCCTTAAGTCTGTCTAGATCATGGATCTTTTTATATTATTATGTACAACTGTATTCTCATCAGTTTGCAATATCACAAAACAAGTGAGATTAGGTTTCCTCAGTACTGATGACATCAATCTTTATCGTTCTGTGTTCATTGAATATATTATGTCGTCACCAGTTTCCACATTCATGTACAGATTGAGAATGCTCTATGAGAGTATGTTAGTATCTGTTGAATCATCAAATATTTTTGGTATTTTAGAGTCTGCAACTAAATATTCCACTCAAAAGTTTCTGTCACAATTACTGATTTCATTTTAGTATAAAAAGAGCTTTTCATTTTCTCCATTGATTTTTTTCACTCCTTCTCTTCCTTTGTTCAAGATACAATATTTATACTATTTCCACAAACCAACTCTCTAGGAATTCGCAAGCAAGAACTTTCTGGAGTCTTTATGATACATTTTCCTGGGTCTTTGTTCACATGTTTATTTTCTGCAATGTTCAAATCACATAGTGCACTCTATAGTATACTTTCTCAGAACAACTTGGTACAAAAAACACATTACTTTCATTATTTAAATTTCAATAAAATTACTCATAGATAATGTTTTTTCTTTAAGTGTATACTGTGGATTCCAATGTGGGGCATTATCTAATATTGTAAAGTTAGGAGTTCCAGGAGACTAAATTATTTTTATATTATAAAAAAATTACTAAATTATTTTTATATTATAAAAATAATTACTAAATTATTTTTAGTAATTGTCATGACAAAAGTTTGTGATTGATATTTATGTACACAGAGAAATTTGCTGACTCTTCAAAGTACATTGTAAATAAAAATCATTTATTTTACTGGAAAATTTACAGTAAAAATTTTAAGATCAAGTAGATAGAATTTATTGATTTATAATTACTAATCAAGAGTCAATAGGATGGATTAGGTTGTAAAGACACTTTCTACCAAAATTGACTACATGAATTTGATGCCCAGGACTCATTAGTAGGAAAAAACTGAGTTCGACAACTTGTCCTCTGACCTTACCATGTGCACTGTGTTCACAAGCATATAACACTCCCCCCATACACATATACACACTGGAAAGTTTGCTTATTGGTTAAGAAGACTACATGCTCTTCCAGAGGACATAGGTTCAATTCCAAACACACACAAGGTGACTCACAACCATATAACCCCAGTTCCAGAAGATATGACATCCTCTTCTGGTCTTCACAGGCACCATTCACACAAGTGGTGCACAGACATGTATCCATGAAAAACAATAAATATACACAAAATAAAGTAAACAATTTTTTTCAAAAATTTAAACAACAGAAACAAAAATACTAATTTCTCCTAAAACTGTGTTAGACATTGTGTTTAGCCGGCAGTATAGATCAAAACACAGGTATGGAAACTCAGCGAATAGAAGTTATTTGACTTTTTTGTGGTGTTTAAATCTCATCTCTTCTTGAAGTGAAGAGATGAGATTTAAACAACAAAAGTTGATGAAAACAGTAAATTACACTTCTTCCTGTATCTGCTGGGTAAACGTGGGGGAACTTTCCTCCCACCCTGTAGAGTCCTCCTTCTTTCAGGAGCCACCAAGTAATCCGCAATTTATCGTGGACTATACAAGTGGGGAAAAGTATCCCAGGCCCCATTGTGGAGAGCTAGGACTAAAATAATACTTGGTGGTTAAAAGTAAGTCAACTAAAGCTATTTAAAACACTCCCTAATCACATACAGCTTGTTTTAAGATTATAACCGAATACCTGGTGTAAACTGCAGCTTTCTATACATTGCTGTAGAATCAGATTAAAGCAACCATGGGTTGTAAAGAATGCTTCTCTAACACATTAAGCATCTAAACAGCACATTAAAATATTAGTCACAAAATTAGCCAATAGCATGATTCCATGGTGGGTCACACCCACACTGAGAGCATATAAAAAGCCTCTCTGCAAGCAGAACCATACAGACTCAACTCACCTACACTCCTTCTCTACCAAGAACAACCTCAACAATCAGCACCATGTGTGGCTACTACGGAAACTACTATGGAGGCAGAGGCTATGGCTGCTGTGGCTATGGAGGCCTGGGCTATGGCTATGGAGGCCTGGGCTATGGCTATGGAGGTCTGGGCTGTGGCTATGGCTCCTACAGTGGCTGTGGCTACCGTGGACTGGGCTGTGGCTATGGCTGTGGCTATGGCTATGGCTCACGCTCTCTCTATGGCTGTGGCTATGGATGTGGCTCTGGCTTTGGATCTGGATTTGGCGGATACTATTGAAGACACCATGGCAGAATCTAACCTGCTCCAGTTGTAAATTTAAGACTCCCAATTCTGAACCCCACATGCACTGAGCCTCTTCTCTGAAGATAGCACTGCCAAGAAGTCTACATGATACGCTGTGACTTACACAGAGCATGCATCCTCCCTGGATGTAGCTCATAAAGGGAGGGAATGAGATTTACCTGACCTCTGTTACTTCTATGGTTCTCAGATTGATGTCATCAGACCAAAAGCCTTGGTGGCTTTTATTCTTGTCCTCATTTATCTCTTCTCTAATAAACATCATTAATATAAAATTAATCCTAGTTTTTATTTCATTTTTTAGTGTCAAAAATGTCTTATTGAAGTGTTTGGTTTCAGCATCCATGAAAGACAATGATTATTTTCTTAGACATTATTTACATGTACTATTTCTAGGCCAATTTCTTTACTATGTCCAGGTTTGTTCCAAAAATGTTTTATATAAATCTCAACTTTACCTTCTATTAGTGAAGAATTATTTGTCCTGCTATGTAACTCTCACATATAGGCACTTTGTGTATAAATTATTTAAAATAATAATTTCCAAAATACTCACATACCTCTTGTCTCAAAATCAACTATTGCTTTCTCATCTTCATTTCTAATTTACAAGAATATTTGTAGTCTAAGAATACTTTATAATATAATTACGCACATATACGATCACATATAGCATGTCACTTTTGGTTTGCTACTAGAAAGAAGTCACAGGGCATGCCCATAATGCAAAATGGGAGTTCACACTCTGCCCATCAAAACAATGGTTATGCCCCTTCCACATAAGGAATTAAAATGTATTCGTTCATTCAACATGCACTATAGTATTTTTATGTCAGGGGGCTTTGGTAAAATTTTCTGTATTAGGTATCTAGAAATGAAATTCATTTTTAGCCCAGTATTCTCAATTTCTTCTGTTTCTTCTAAAGAACGTGACTCCTTTAAATTTTATGTTGTCAGGTTTGTTCCTTGTTCTTCATTAGGGAAATATCTATTCTAACTAGAGATTTAAAATTATAATCATTCATATCTGCAAAGCTATCATCACATGTCATTTGAAATATACCTTGTCAACTGATTTGCTATCATTAAGTTTGTCAAATACAGCATTTAGCATTTTCATTTTGACAAGACCATTGTTAGCCTTTGTTGTAGATCCAATAATCTGAGGTACTTAGAAGGCTGAGGAAGGAGGATTGTAACTTCAAAGACACCCTGGGGAGCTTGTCTAAAAGTAAAAAAAAATATCAAAGTACTAAGAATGTATTATTATAATACAGATTTTTCACCAGATGAGAGAATCCTTGTCTATAATACCCTATATCCCTAAACCCAATCTAAGATAAGTTTATGTCTTTTTCTATACTCCCTGTAACTAAACTGCTTTCAGTGATTGCTTTCTTCCTGGGTTCTACTTTGGTTTACTGAGATGCTCTCCCTGAATTTCGTTAACTGGTAAATATAAATTTAGTTTCATTACCTTTTCATCTTTACTGATGAAAGTTTTCAGTGCCATAGATTTTCTCTAATTACTGCTTGACTTTAGTAGATTTTTCAGATACTACTACTATTTAAAACTGTAATTTTATATGTTTTAGACCACCATTTGTCAGTTACCTGAAAGCTGTCTAATTAGGGATTTCCTCTCCATATCCAGAGCTTGTTTACTGTTGTGAGCAGTTTTAGTTTCATTCCATGACAAGCAGAGAGAACTCTCAAAATCTTTTCCTTTGTTCTTCAACCAGTATAGATGTACATTCTCTGAAAGCATAAGGAAAGACTCATTCTTTCTTATTTTTGTAAAGGCTAAATATGTGCACATTATATGACAAATGTGTATCAAAACAGCTGCTTCAATTATATTACTTAAGTGTGTTGATTCTCTCTGTTTATTGTACTAGATACATTGCTATGTAGTAGTCAACTGAATCCTTCTGTCAATGTTTTTTCCCAATGACCCCATTGTTTTCCCTGTGTGCATTTGTGAAGGTCTTGAAATCACTTCCAAAATGCAAAAGACAAAAATAATAGAAGTAAAGTCTGAACCAATGAAAGGGAGGGGTAAAACAGAGCAGGAAGGAGGTAGGAAAAATGAAGGAAGGAAACTCTAGGCTCAGAGGTGCATGATTTTTCTTTTTCCACACAAATAAAATGTTTCTTTAGAAACTCCATCTCTGGTAACTACAGTGGTCAGCATGTAAACGCACAGGCACAGGAGACCACTTCCTAAATATAACCCATTAGCATAGACACTGAGAGAAACAATTAATAAATGAAACCTCCTAAAACTTAAATGCTTCTATAAAGTGTTGATGGAGGGAGGGCCTATTTTTCTTCCCACTTGGATAGCTTAGACTCAAAATAATCACCCAGAAACTGTATTCATTTAAACACTGCCTGCCTCTTATTGGCCAACTCTCACATATTAGTTTAACCCATCTCTTTTGATGTGTATCACCGCTTGACTGTGGCTTACCGCCATGAGTCTAACCAGCATCAGTCTCGGGCAGGAGAACCATGGTGTCTGCCACACTGCCCTTCTTCCCAGCATTCAGTTCGGTCTCCTCCACCTATCTAAGTTCTGCCCTATCAAAAGGCCAAGGCAGTTTCTTTATTCAATCATTGAAAGCAAAACATAGACAGAAGAACCTCCTACACAAGTAAAGGAAAGGATATGGTCAACAAGACAAAATAACAGCGTACAGAATGGGAAAAGATCTTCACTAACCCCACATCAGACAGAGGTCTGATCTCAAAATTTACAAAGAACTCAAGAAATTGGTCATCAAAAGAACATATAATCCAATAAAAAATGGAGTGCAGACCTAAACAGAACTCTCAACAGAAGAATCTAAAATGACTGAAATACAATAAGGAAAATGTTTAACATCTTTAGTCATCAGAAAAATGCAAATCAAAACAACTCTGAGATTCCATCCTACACCTGTAAGAATGGCCAAGATCAAAAACACTGATGACAATTTATGCTGGAGAGGTTGTGGGGGAAAGGGAACACTTCTGCATTGCTGGTGGGAATGCAAGTTGGTCCAGACCCTTGAGATGTCAGTATGATGATTTCTCAGAAAATTAGGAAACAACCTTCTTCAAGACCCAGTAATATCACTTTTGGGTATGCATCCAAAGAATGTTCAATCATGCCAAAAGGGCATGTGCTCAACTATGTTTATAGGAGCATTGTTTGTCATAGCCAAAGCCTGGAAACAACCTAAATGTCACTCAACTGAAGAATGGATAAGGAATATTGGTACATTTGCAAAATGAAGTAATATACAGCAGAAAAATTAATGACATCGTGAATTTTGCAGATAAATGGATGGAGCTAGAAAACATCATTATTCAGACCCAGAAAGACAATTATCACATGTACTCACTCATAAGTGGTTTTTAAACATAAAGCAAAGAAAACCAGTCCACAAACCACAATCCCAGAGAACCTAGACAACAATGAGGACCCTAAGAGAGACATACATAGATCTAATCTCCATAGGTAGTAGAAAGAGACAAGATCTTCTGAGTAAATTGGGAACATGAGGAACTTGGGAGAGAGTTGATGGGGAGGGGAGAGGCAGGGAGGAGAGCAGAGAAAAATGTAGAGCTCAATAAAAATCGATTTAAAAAAAGTTCCCTGTGTGAACCTAATTTTTTCTAGATTGAATTTTATGTTGTTATTAAGGTTACTTATGCTTTTTAATAGGCTTTCAGAATATCTTTTTCCTGTGTTTGTAACATAAAAAGACATAGGGTACTACTCATGAGTTTAACTAGACTCTTTTTGTATTGTTTAAGTCATTAGGATACAGAATCAGATTGATGTACTTTCTATTCTATTTTCATGCCTGTTGCTGTGATAAACCCACCCTTGCAAGAAGCAGCTTAAAGGAAAAAGGGTCTATTTTAGCTTTCAGTTCCTGGCTACAGTGCACACAGTGGGGAAGTCATGGAAGCAGGATTGTAAAGCAGCTGCTCACATCACATCCACAGTCAAAAGTAAAGAGAAATGAATGCATGCATGCACCCTACATGCTCTACTCTTACACAGGCCAGCACCCACACCCAAAGAAGGCTGCAGACCACAACTGATGGACCTACCCATCATAATTGCACTCAATCAATTAATTAATTATCTTTTTCCATTGTCACACAGAGTTTACACATACCCATGGAATGTGTAATTTTTTGATAGATGATTGAGCTAAATAATGTTCAAACGTCTATTCCAAAACTATTTATTATTAAATATACAAAATTCTTCTTTGTAAGGTTTTGAAAAGGTATAGCTCATTTCTTATTATTTTTATGTTTCACTTTTACTCCCTTGAGTTCTATATTTTTAATAAAGTATTAAAATACAGTATATATTTTTATAGTATTTAATAGTGTTGAAATTTTATTTGAATTTTTGAATTTATTCTTCCTTGGGCAGAATTTGTTCATCACACATACAATAATTTCTTTGCCCAGTGAAGCCAAGTGTGTTTTTTACAAAGGATTTTAATTTTCTTTTATGTTTCTAAATTTTAGGTTTCTAAACCAAGGTAGCTTTCATGCTCAGCTACATTTACTTATGTACAATTAATTACAAAAGAAGAGCTTTCCTTCTAGCGCTTCTCAAGGCTCACTAAAAGGAATATGAGCTTCTACGTTTCTCTATAGCAATGTGGAAGGAGCCAGCAAAGAGATCCTGTACACATGCGCCAACATTCATAAGTTCAAGGATGCTTACTCTGTCAGAGTCACAGGCACCAGTAAAAATATAAAATGTAAGAAAAAAACATTTGTACAGATTCCAGTATTTGTAAGTAACAAAAATAATTATTCAAGGCAGTATCTTCTTGGAAGGAAAGAATAACTCTTTGTTGTGGTCTTTGGTCAATCATTGAACACGCCACAGATGAGGCTGTATATTTAGTTTGTTATACTGTTTTGTACCAATTGAAAGTTTTAAAACAATCATAAAATAGAAAATACCGTACCAAAAGAATGTTTCTTTCATTGATGAAAACTCTAGATCATTTCCATGGGAAAAGTACTGCTGACACACCAGAACTCTCTTTCCCCATGTGAGCAGGTAAATCTTTGAAATTAATAATGCTGAAAGAAAACAGTGCCTCATAACAAAATGATTAACTCTGTGCTTCTCAAAAGAATGGAGAAAACCAGTTCTTCCCGTAGCATCAAGAATGGCAGTAGGCATGTCAGCAGTCACCGTGGCCATTGTTCTGACTCTCAAAGTCACATCCCAGGCATCCAATAGCCATAACCTAGGCCTCCATAGTTACATCCCAAACCTCCATAGTCATATCCCAGGCCTCCCTAGCCATAGCCTAGGCCTCCACAGTCATATCCCAGGTCTTGTAGTCATAGCCCACACCACCATCAGCATTACATTCACGATATCAGGATTAGAGTGTTCAGTTGTCCAGCAATATCAGCTTCTAGAATTCCAAACTCATGTGTCTTGGTATATCAAGTGAGTATAAATGGGAAAACCACAGCAACTGTTAGTTTCACATCAGCAACTAACTGACATTGAAGCCATCTAAACTTTCTTTTACTACCAACATACTCAAGAAAATATTGTCATGAGCCAAGGAATATAAAATAATATGTCCTTTACAAAAGTTCTTCCCCTGATTTGGTGAACTGTTTGCTCCTGATGCCAAAGTTAATCCATTTCTACTTAACATAAATAATAATGTTGGCATGTATTTTAACTCCAATGAATTTTCATCTTTAAAAATGTCTTCGATTAAGTCATGATGTATATAATCGCAGAAAGAAACTGATGAATTTAAAGGTGCAGAAAAAGATGAAAAAAAACTTTTGAGCAAATTACAGGGTATTAGAGGTGCCATTGCTGAATTTTATAAGGTAACAATCAATCTATGGATATGCCAATTGGTCATATGGAGATGGATATGTACAGATAAGTATTGGAAATGTGATGCCATATTAATGCAAGAAAATCACATATCTAAGAAAAGGGAGGTGATGTGGTGAATCTAAGAACACTGGTTGTTCACTGTGGTTGTTTGGATGCAAAGAACACCAAAAAACTTATTGGGACTGGAAATATTAGAAGGTGTGACCATGTTGGAGGAAGCATGTCACTGTAGGGGTGGACTTTGAGGTCTCATATGTGCTGAATCCTTACCCAGTATCTCATATCTGTTGCTTGCAGGTTAAGATGTATGATTCTCAGGCCCTTTTCCAGTCCCATGTCTGTTTGCACACTACTATGCTGCACCATGATAATATTGGACTAAACCTCTGAAAAAGTAAACCACCCCAATTAAATTTTTTTCTTTTAGTTTATAAAAGTTGCCATGGTTCTGCCCCATTTCTCTTCTCTCTTTGAAGAGTTGGCTGTGCCCTCCTGTCCTCTCCCCCACCTCTGTGTTCTCTCTCTCTCTCTTTCTCTCTCTCTCTCTCTTTCTGTCTCTCCCTGTGTGTCTCTCTGTTTCCATCTATCTCTCTCCTTCCCTTTTACCGAATAAACTATATCCAAACTCAAAAAAAAGAAAAGAAAGAAAGAAAAAAAAAAGAAGTTGTCATGGTCATGGAGTCTCTTCACAGCAACAGGAACCCCAAGTAAGACATTTGCCATCACAACTGAGAGCAAAAATGAAGAAAAAATAATAATAAAAGTGATGCTGAATAACTGAATTGGCAAAAAGAATATTGAACTTAAACAAATGTGTGAAGCTTTGAGAAGATACATGGTTGGTAGTCACTCAACATTAGAAGAGGGTGGTAATTCTGAATGCCTAAAACTCAAAATGGAGAGAACTTAGGCTTAACATTTATTGAGACAGTAGTCTTAATGATCCTTCATTAGCAATTTCAGGAGAATATATGGCTATCAAAATAAAAAAAAAGCAATGTATGGGAATAGACAGAGATTAAAACACGAAATTGTGTGAAAATATTAGATAAATAAAACTAAGGTTTGTGGGAAGGATACAAAGGCTCAAGGGAAGCCATTTTGCTCCTTTTAAAAAAAGTATTATCAATAACTATACTTAAGAAAACCATTGAGTTTGGAAAACCACCATGGGAAAAAATGGGGGAAATTCCTTTGAGTGAACGCTTTGTTTGTGTAGGAAGAGAAACTCAATTTTTAAAAAATGAAGAGATTAATTTGAGAAAGTTTTATGGAGATAAAATTAAGTAAAATTTTCTATAAGAAACACAGTTCCTCAACAGGATTATTCCATTGCAATACTACAATTCCAATATGTTATTCCATTATAATAAAATTTTACAACCACTTTAGTCAAATATTTTAAAAATTATTTATACCTTTTTTTATTATTTGCCTAAAGAATTTCAGCCATGTTACTAGACAAGACTTTTTAAAAGTCTTGGACCAGAGAAAGACAAACCATCATGTCATTTAAATAATCTTTTTTCCTGAAAATGTATTCTGAGTTATTGATTGATTGAGTACACTGTGATAAGTGAGGTAACTATGTGAAATCTGAACAATATATAATGATAATATCATCTGATTCAAAATTCTCAAACATCGTGATATTTCTGATAAAATGTCATAATGGTTTTTTTTTCTTTACAAAATCGATGTAACAACACCTATTCATGCAAAGAACATTCAAAGACACAGGTTCATTTGAGAATCTTGGCACATGCCCTGGTACTCAGGAGGTAGTGGTGGTATAATTACATGTCTGATCTCTTCATGGACTACATTATGAGACCATCATCATCTCACACACATATATACACACAAATGAATCAATAAATGTGTTTGACTTGAACTGCAATAGGAAAATACTTTATGGGAGACTTTTCAACTCTTTTTCTACACTAACCAAGGTAGATGTGCTGGCAAAGAGAGCAAACAATGTAACATCTGACCTAGTGCCTAATACAATGAAAGCACACGGTTCCACTGAAATATAAAACTAACTTTGTTTTGTGTAACTTTATTAGGAGGATTTATTGTCACACAAACTGGATGGGTAAGGACTCATTACAAAACTGTGAAAGTTCAGTATTTGCTGTCAGATATTGATAAAGCAAGAATGCTTTAAATAATTTGGTCAATGTAAATACATGATGGTAACTATAAATCATTGTATAGTTCCTTACATGAAATATCATTGTAATACTCATTAAAGTAATAACTAATCACCATGATCTTATTTGTAAATATAAGGGGAGAAATAAGATCCCATGTGATAAATAAAATTTCTTTTTGATATATAGAAATTAAATCCAAAAGGGGTTATTCTCAGCTGTATAACAATAAAATTTAATGCATTTGACTCAAAGCTGATTTACTGAAATACTTATTAGTTGGATTATTATTATCATCAAAAGAATAGAAATATATTTGATTTCAGAAAGCAAACAGAATTGAAACCTGGAACAAAAAAAAATGAATTTTCAATGTGAGTGAAGAAGAACTCATTCAAAGAAGAGGTATGATTTTTGTGGAATGGAGATACAAAGCAATGACATTTTGACCAGGGAAGGGTTGCCTCTGCCTATAGCATTGTCATCAAAGGTTAGAATGGAAGCTGCATTTGTTTCAGAATTGTCTAGCTATGAGATGGATGTGTGCTCCTTCACTGAAATTCTAGACTAGATAAGAAATGCTCACATGAGATAGCAAGCCAAGCAAGCTTCCTTAATGACTGTGAAATATTTTTATGGCTGAAAAACAACAAAATAATTAGATTAGTCATAAAATTAGTCAATAGCATGGGTCATGGTGGGCTCCACCCAGACTGAAAGCATATAAAAGGCCCTCTTCAGGGAGAAGTATCCAGACACAAGTCACCTACACTCCTTCTCTACCAAGACCAACCTCAAGAACCAGCACCATGTGTGGCTACTACGGAAACTACTATGGAGGCAGAGGCTATGGCTGCTGTGGCTATGGAGGCCTGGGCTATGGCTTTGGAGGCCTGGGCTATGGCTATGGAGGTCTGGGCTGTGGATATGGCTCCTACAGTGGCTGTGGCTACCGTGGACTGGGCTGTGGCTATGGCTGTGGCTATGGTTATGGCTCACGCTCTCTCTGTGGCTGTGGCTATGGATGTGGCTCTGGCTATGGATCTGGATTTGGTGGCTACTACTGAAGACACCACAGAAGACTCTAAACCTTCTCCAACTGTGATGCCAGGATTAGGCTGTTCTGAACCTAATATAGTCTTAACATCTTGCTTAGATGGTGAGGATCTACCTCACAGGTTTCTGATACAATTTTACTGAAGTCTTGCCTTCTACTTCCTTCTGGATCTTATACCTTCAATTCATTCTTTTGAGAATTTCTTGTAACAAGAGGAAGAATGTGAAATTCATACTCTGGGTACCTAAGTTTTCATCACTGGGATGATTTGTCACATATTCTACTAGCTTTTAATCAAGAGGGTTTTCTTTTTCCAATAAACTTACACAACTGAATCTATAAATATGGTTTTCTTTTCATTTAAAAATCCAGTACTTATTATTTTTCTAAATGAATTAAAGTTCTATTTGTAGACATTTTGTGCTATCTGTTTTACATAAATGATTTTGAAAGTGATAATTATGGAAAGAAACATTTGCCTCATGATAGAGTCAATTTGTTGTAACAAGACAACATTGTTTGGGCTTAAGCATAACTATTCAGAAAAAATGACAGGCATATTATATTTAGTTAGCAAAACAACAGCAGTAAATTCCTGGCTATGGCCTATTACCATCCAGGATTTATTTTTAACCATTTTTATGGTAGAAAGGAATTCATATTTTGCCGTGGGACAATGGTTTGTACCCTGTCAATCATATTTTAATAAAATGCTGATTGGCCAGTAGCCAGACAGTAAGTATAGGCAGGACAACCAGGAAGAAAGTAGAGGTGGGACAATGGAAACCAGAGAAATCTGGGAATAGGAAAGCACAGTCTGCAGTCATGACCTAGCTGCAGAGAAAGCAAAATGTATCTGCCTCACCAAATAAGGTACCGAGCCACGTGGCTAACATAGACAAGAATTATGGGCTAATAAGTTATAATAATTAGTTAATAAGAAGAGCCTGAGATACTGGACCAATCAGTTTATAATTAATGTATGCCTCTGTGTGTTGTTTGGGACTTAACAGCTGTAAGACCAGTTGTGACAGAAGCCTCTGTCAATAATATTTCTTTCTGAAGAATGGGCATCAAATTCAATGAAAAAGTAGTTGGTTACCTGTTAATGGCCTTCCCACCATTGTACCAGTGGGATCACCTTGTGTAGCTGGTCAGTATTATTGCACTGGTCTTATCTTAAGAAGACTATTGATGAAAAAGGAAGATTTCTTACTATGTTGGCAATTTTGGTCAAATGATCTTCTCTTTGTACCTGTATCCATTGGGACTTGGATGTACATATCCACATTGCGTGTGTGTGTGTGTGTGTGTGTGTGTGTGTGTGTGTGTGTGTGAGAGAGAGAGAGAGAGAGAGAGAGAGAGAGAGAGAGAGAGAGAGAGCTAATTTCAGTAATTTCTGTCTTTTGGGGAAAGATTTCTTGATGAGGTATGAAGACTACATTTATCTGTGAAAAATGGGACAAATATCTACAGATTGTTGTTAGGAATTATGCTGGTTTAGTAAATTCATACTTGCACCTAAATCTCAGGGAATACTGTGGAAGCAGGGGCAGAAAGATTGTAAGAGCCAGAAGATCAAGAGTTTGCTGTAATACTATGTCTTCTTATATTGTCAGAAGAGGTACCCAAAAAAGTTTTACTAAGATGAATGCTCAAACATGAATTGAACAAACTCATGGGTACAAGCCTATGAGGTCTCAACCTTTCACAAAGAACTAAAAGCAACTGAGGAAAGCTGCTAGCAGGAGACATGATCTTGTCCAAAGAAGAGCACATTAGTTGGCTGTTCAGTGCCAAAAGTGTACCCCGGAAACACACATACAAGTAAGTTTATATAGACAGAACAGAACAGTGTATATATCTATATGAATATATAAATATATTAACAATTACTGAATAATGATGCCATAAGTTTGAGAAAGAACAGAGAGGGTTATATGAGAAGTTTGAAGAGAAGGGAAGTGAAAAGTGCTATAATTACATTATAATCTCAAATAATAAAATAAAATCTGTGCTTTGAAGTGATCAGTAGTGACTGAAGAGACCCCTAACTGTTCAAAATGCTAAAAATAAATTGCAATTGAAAATCCATCCCTAAAGTAGACATATATATATATCATCACTGCCAAAACTCAAGGATTATTTTGGAAAGGACAGAACAAATGTAAAAAGAGGTGTGGGACACTGATTTTCTAGCATGACATGATCATTGTATTCTTAAGCTCACAGAAACTGTAATTAACTTCCCATGATTTGTACAATATTGGATATGTCAATATTCTTCACTGAAGGAGCAGTGGCATATTAGAGCCAATCTTTCCCCAAGGATTTATAGGCAATTAGAAGTCAATAAGGAAAGGAGAGGGATTTCTGTTGCAGAAGTGTACCTACCAGTGTGCAAACTCTCGGTACATCATAAAAGAAAGAAGACAATAAAGTAGAAAGGGGTTGTTCAGAAAGAAGGAAATTATTATCGGTGAGTGGGGAAAAGAGATTAACATTGTGAACATCATTAAAATATATGTATACATCTATGAAAATGTCATAATAAAACCCATTATTGGCACATATGCTAATGAAAGCACTAAAAACGTTCTTTTAACCTTAAGTGAGCTATGTCAAGCATTATGATGGTTGTATTTGTGCTAAAGGAGATTGAATTTGTCAAGTAAGTAAACAATTGCCTTCAAGCTCTGTGTATTCATTTGCAAAAGTCTTTGTCTGAAATCCTTTTGAAAACATGAAGTTTGGCACCTGATTGTATACTTCTACTCTCATTTTGTGACATAGTTAAACCAGAAGTATTCCTTATAGTGTCCTATACCAAGAGATATAGAAATGTAAACACTCTCCTTTTCCATTTAATTTTATATGACTTTGAAACACTCTAAATATTTTGAAAAAGTAACAAATTAAGTACTTAGCTCCTTCACAACTAAAAAAAATCAAAGAAAACTCAATAATGTACATAATCCAGTCTCTCTGTGTATATTCTATTTTTATGTGACTATTTTTCTTTAGTCCTTTTATCTATGACTGTCTGTATTCGCTCTCTTGAAAGACTTTGTTTTAATTTTTATAACCACTTATTTCCTTTTATAACTGTCTATATTCCTTTTCTTTTCTCTAGCCTATGTACATTTTTCCAACATTATGACCCATTTAGAATTCTTTTTTATCTGAATCTGTCTTTATTGTGTAGTTTTAATTATTTTCCGACCAGGACCACTTCTTAAAATGCAAAGCAGTGTGGCTGTGACTAAGGTTGCTTTGTCTTTTAACACTGCCAAGTCCAACATGGCAGAGGTCTATTTACCGCCTCTGAGACTACAAGGTGGGAGCCCTGCTTACCACCTCAACTCTGATAACCAGTTGGCCCATGCTGCCACCAAATAACTTGCAGTGTGCTGCTCACAAACGCCATTAACGTGCCTGGTCTCCAGAAAAAGTCAGAGTTCATGCTGGCAGCATGGACCAGGAAGCTGCCATTTTGAAATCTCATGGGTTTTTTGTTGTTGTTGTTTTTGTGTTTTGCTACCACTGAATCAGGCAGTTCTCTCTTAAAGAAACCATGGCACTTCTAATCCTTGCAAGCTAAAAGAGCCCATCAAAAAATGGTCTTTCAGTTTTTATTGATGTAGTCACCTACCCATGTTGGATGTCAATTTGTTGACTGAAACCGCTCACACTTGAAATAATCACACAGAAATTATATTACTTAAATCACTGTTTTACCAATCACTTAAGCATATTGCTAACTAGCTCTTATATCTTAAATTAACCTGTTTCTATTAATCTGTGTATCATCACATGCCTGTGGTTTACCAGCAAGTTTTCAGCGTGTCTGTCTCCATGGGCAGCTATGACTTCTCATTGACTCTATACTCTCTCTTAATATATCTCTTCCAGCCTGGTTATATTCTGTTAAGCAATTGGTTGAAACAGCTTCTTTATTAAACAATAAAAGCAATACATATATAGAAGGACTTCCCAAACCAATTTATGTTTGAGACCAATTGATTGCATTGTATAACCTTTTCTTTTTTAAATTGTGGAGTTTAAATTGAGTAAAGTAGAGATCATATCTGAAGTTCTACCATTGATAACATTAAAAATGGAGATCAATCATAGCAATGGAACATCAAGCAAGATGTACATTGTTGTAAAAATATATTTAGCTCATATTCACATACATAAATCTACATGGACAACCCTAAGTAAACTCAGGAAATTGCTAAACATGAAAGTGGGAAAAGAACTTGTAGAAAGGAAGTTGGGCTGGGGTTGAATGGGAAGGGAAGGAGGAAAGAGAAGGTGATGTTAAGATAAATCAGAACACATTTTATACAGGAATGAAATGGTTGGAGTGAAATAAATGTAAAAATGGAAAGCTTTAAATTTCCAAAACTGAAAAAAATTGATGATCTATCAATTTTGTAAAGAAGAAATAAAACAAATTTTATGATAGCCACCTTGAAACTAAAAATGAAAAGAAGAGAGGGAAGATGGAGAGATGGAGGAGAGGACTCTTCCACATTCAAGTTATGAAACATTGTTCTGATGATAGACTAGCCATAAAGTATTCAGGATTGTTTCTGTGATTCCCTAAATGATAATGTTCATTCACTGGACCTGAATTTTTTTAGAATATAGTAGTGCTTCTCAAGGGTAAGCGTCTGGAGGTTTCTAAGATGATATAGAAACTATGTCAAAAATCCAACTGCAAACTTAAGAAACATCCCTGCAATATGGGCTGGGGTAATGGTGGTGCAGCACGTGTGGTTATGGGAGTGTACAACCAATGACTTGTCTGACATAAGGCACATGCCACTAGAGGGGATCACACCCTTGATACTACCTGGAAGACAGGGTTCAGAAGCTCGCTAACCCAGAGATCTAGTATAGAACTAAACACGACTGGCCCAAAAAAAATCAGTGAAATTATTTCTAATGATATTATGTTATATTATCAGAAAGGCTTCATCCAGCAACTAAGAGGAACAGATA